CATGCCGTCCTTACCGATCCCATCGATCATATTCCACGACAGTACATTTAACTTTTTAGGACTAAGATTAAGGTTAAGTTACGGCTAAGTTAGGACTAATACTTTTTTATAAACTAACCATAACCATCAGAAGAGGTAGGTAGTAAATGAAGATATATTTTATTGCAAAAATGATTGCTTTGTAAAAAAATCATTAGTTCCAGTTATTATTGGGTACAAAACTAAATTGAAAATAATTTTACTGGATTACACGAATTTTGAGGTTAGATTTTATTTTATGCATTTGCAGATTAGTCAGTATCTAAAAAAGATATGATTTGTAACAAGAATAACAAAAAATAGCTTAAAACTTACACAATATATTTTATCACTTATACACAATTACACAGTACACAAATATTAGGACGGCATTAGGCACTAACAATTCATTTTATTTCTTGTTACAGCCTAAATTTTCTTTTAGAAAATAATGGGTAATCTGATAATCGAAGATTGATATTTATTATGTTTGCCACTTAACATTTCCTTGCTTTAAAAACTAAAAGATATATTTTCAATTAGAGCTATCCATAAATGGAATACAGTAAGTTTCAATTTGGCATAAAAATATTTTATCGTCATACATGTAGATTTCATTGTGACATTTTTTTATTATGAGAACAAAAAATTTTATTCAGGAATTCAAAAACTTAGTTGACAAGGCAAATGAACATCGCGTTACAGATATAATATAAGTTTTTTCAATTGAACTCCCTGAATATTTTTACATATGTATAGAATGGAATGTTTATGATTAAAGCAATATAAAATTTGACGAGTCTATCTCTAACAATAAAGGAGAAATAGATGATAACAAAAATGTGCCACTAACATAATTTCATAACAAAGATTTATTGTCCGGCAAATAGTAATACTTCCTTTCTATTACATTAGGTTCATTGTTTTTACCATATCTTCCTTACAATTAGAGATAAAATATAAAATCTTATATCACTACAATATAGGACACATTCTACACAAATATGTAAAACTGTATCATTTAAAATAACACATATTAATCCTATATACAATGCGTCCTAGAAGTAACGCAAAAAATTCGTATTTTATTTTGTGTTGCATTTTCACAAAAACGCTAAAACACGTCAATTAGTAAATAGGAATTGTCGTTTTGTCACGTTGCTTAAATAGCACTGCCAAATTTTTTAAGCATAAATGGATAGCCCTTTTGAAGGGAAATTCGTCGATTTAGGGTTTGGCCTACTTCGACAGGTGCGAAAAAAAGCAACAAAAGTAGGTATCACAAACTGATGCGAGAACAGTGCCACAGCAAAAAATGTGTTTTGGTTGATTGTAGCTACATGTTTCTATGTAGATTGGGTAGGTTCACCCGATCACAGCGGCTAGGAATTGTTTTGAATACGACAGTTAACGAATGCAAGAGTGCCTCATATCATTGTGATAGTTACAAATACCATAACTTTACATTACGGTGTTGCGTTTAAGTGAGAAACAAAGAATTGAAATCCTAATTATGGTTGGATGCAGAGATAGGATCCGTAATTATGATGAAGTATGTCAATTGTCCAATGCCAAGTATCCAGAACAACCAATACCTCCGTCTACAGTATGCAGATTAATACGCAAATTTGAAGACGCTGGACATGTTAGAGATCTGGCTAGATCCGGAAGGCCAACAATAGTGCCGAAAAATGATAGGCAAAATGTTATGTTTAGCTGTCACTGAAAATCCACACACTACCGTTCATCCTATCACCGAAAACGCCAACATATCAATACATAAAAACATGTACCTACAATCATCGAAAACACAAAACATTTACAAATTCCCATTTTTTTGCTGTTGCACTGTTCTCGCATAGGTTTATGAAAAATACCGCAAAAAAGGTTTAAGCAACGTGACAAAATGACAATTCGTATTTACTAATTGACGTGTTTTAGCTTTTTTGCGAAAATGCAACACAAAATAAAATATGAATTTTTTGCGTTACTTCTGGGACGCACTGTATATATATTATATCTATTTACTATAAAATATTCAAAGAATATAAGGCTAGGCATGTCATTGTNATTGTTAGAGTCAGATTTATGTTTAATAAATATATATATATATATATATATATAACCTGATGTCCTCCCAACATAAGTCTGTAAGTTTATACTTCCTTTATTTTCTATTTCGAAAAATAACGGAGAAAATAGGAGGTGACACTTATGGTGGATCAGGAAGTATATACATTCCATAGAAAATTAAATTCTGCAATTTGCATTCATAGTATGTTAAACTTAAGCCGTATGCTATAATCATAGGCTGTAAGACTTAATTCGTAACAGGTGCATTTATAATGTAGGTAAAAAACTTAATTCGTATGCAAGCACAAGAGGTGAAGAACTGCCAGTTAAGAAAAAATTTAAAATATGTTAAAAATGCAATTTCTATCTATCATTATGGGCGAGTATTAGATGGTATTAGACATATGTAGTTAAAACCCTCTTTCTGCATTCTGATTAGTTATTGTTTTTATTTGAAATAGATTGAATTAGGTATCCTCTAGGATTTGTAGATACCGATGTTCTCCGATGAAATTCAACCTTTGCAGTCTATGTGACGTTTATCAGCTAGTCGTACATCACAATTATTATACACAATGAGAAATAATTTGAAAAATTTTTTTGTATCAGAATTATCGGATACAGAATAAGTTCCTTGGGAAAACAATGTGGTATACAACCGTATGTGTGTCCAAGAGTATGATTGGTTTGTTAAATTTTTGTAATAAATTACTCAATATGAATTGAACTATTGTTTTAATGCTTACCATCCTACCCATACCTGTAAATATTCGTAAAACCGTAAGTAAAATTTTCTATAAATAATCAGACTTTTTTATGTAACGCAACAAAATCGGATACACCAACTAAAATATAATCAAATAAATGAGGATAATATTGTATTAAATAAATACATATAGTTTCATCCATTAAAATTTTATTTTGAAAATGTTAACGACAAAAGTTAGTTTAGTCTCTCATAACTCACAAATTTCTAATATGTCTTGTGGTTTTAGCAAACGGCTTAAGTTTTTTGTTCTATGAATCCAGCTTTATTCCCAATTTTATTTAGTGTTTCTTAACAAGATTAAAGTTCTATAACTTTTCTAATGCAATCAATGAAATTTTCTTAACATTAGATAAAGGATTAACAAAACAGTTTAATCGGAAGTATATTAAATTTTGCAATTTAGAAACAAAGGGTCTAGCCAGGATATATGGTCCCCATGACTAATGTGTAACATAATATAAGTTTTAATATTAGCTTACAATGAAAACATCATACATACCGCTTTTAGCGCCGGTTTAAAATACTTTTGGTTAACGTGCAGAGGTTATTTTTCCAATTAAGTTTTCTCACAAATTACAGCAGATAAAAATATGGAACCAATCAGATCTTTTAGAAATATTTCAGAGAATATTATAGATTTTCTTCAGATTTTTGCATGATTTTCAGTGGTCTAAAAAATGGAAAATAATTTTGAAAATTTTTTTTCCAAATTCTTACATACTTCCACCAATTAAAAAAATTGTAGATATTCTATAGAGTATGTACTTTTACTACAACAAAGCTCATTAAAATCCAAAAGGCTCTTTTTACGTAATAAAATAAAAACCTTATTTTTACTAGTACCTCTACATCATTTCCATAATAACTTATACATTTAAGGAAACATATACTTACCCCTTTACCTACTGCATATATGATATCTAAAAATAATGTCAAAATATACATCTCAGCATATATTTAGTAATATGTATATTTATATAGCTAACTGTGTGGTGTGTGATGGTTTTCACTTGTCTACTATTGTTTTCTATACCACACAACCTATTTTTCGTATTCAAATAAAGTACCCATAGTATCACATATCATTCCTTTTTATCCTGTAGTATTAATAAAATCTCATGCGGCTATGTATTTAATGAAATATAACAACTATCAATTTTTTTTTAAACTGATTAAGCAAGATTATACAGGGTGTTTATTAAGTACTTGTACAAACTTTAAAAGGTGAAACTTTCACTAATTTTAAGATAAAAAGTTCATATAAACATGGGTCTGCGGTGGCTTGGTTCTTGATACAGGGTGCCCAAAAAAAATTTTTGTTTTGCAATTATTGGAATTATTAGTAGTAGTTTAGTCTTAGTCTTGTAAATGATCTAAGTTTGTCACATCACAATACAATCAATAAAGACTATTTTTTTCACTTATTTTTGAAAAACTCTTAATGATTGTACTTCCAAATTCCAACGCAGGTTTAATTTTAAACCCGTTTTTTTACAAAACGGCTGCTTTCAGTTACAAGTACTAAGAGTACCTTTTATACCTAAAATTGAATGGAAAATAGATATATTGAGTCAAAAATGACATGCAGTGCTGCACAAAAAAGTTATGGTTATTTAAATCCAGGTGCAACACTGTATGTGGCGCCCTCTAACATTAAATAAAAAACTAAGTAAATATTTGAGTTTCTCATTATCGATATTCCCAGTTTCTCGAATTTCATCAAGTTGTCATGTTATTGAACAAAAATATCAAAATACCAAACAAAAAATTTTTTTGGGCGTCCTGTATCTCAAGAATCAAGCCGTTGTGGACCCATGTTCATATAAACTTTTTATCTAAAAATTAGTCAAAGATTGACCCTCTAAATTTTGTGCAAGTACTTAATAAACACTCTGTATATTACTTAATGTTAATTACAATATAATGAGATGTATATTTTAACATTATTTTTAGGTATTACATATGTAGTAGGCAAAGCTGTAATGTATAATGCTTCCTTAAACGTGTAAGTTATTATAGAAATGAGGTAGAGGTACTAGTAAAAATAAGGTTTAAAAAAAATTATCAAAATTATTTTCCATTTTTTTAGGCATTGAAAATTATGTAAAAATCTGAAAAAAATCTATAATATTCTCTGAAATATTCCTCAAAGATCCGCATTGGTTCCATTTTTTTATCAGTTGTAGTTTTTGAGAAAAATTAATTTGAAAAATTCTGCACGTTATCTCTAAAGTAGTTTGAGAACTTGCGCTAAAAGGGATATGTACGATGTTTTCATTGTGTGCTAATATCAAAACTTATATTACTTTACACATTAGTCATGGGGGCCAATCACCATGCTTATCCGGCTAGACCCTTTAAACAAATAATTCACTTTATAAAAATAATGCAGGTTGATTCATCGAAAGTGTAAGGTGTAGAAAATAATTTATCGAGGAAAAATACTTTTAAAAACATTTGAAATTGTATTAATAAAATTTCTAATTAATCATTATCTATTAGATTTAGACGAAAAATTGATCATTCTGAATATGGACTTCAAACATTTACAGAATACCTATAACTACTTCACCAATAAAGCACCGATTGAAAATATGATTTAAGTTTCTAAAGAAACGCCACACAGTGGGAAATATGGGAAAAATTCTACGTACTCTGTACTGTACTGTACAGTGGTAATTTCTCTTTTTATTCTTCTTCAAAAATGCTTAATTTTATGATCCTGGTGCAATAATTTGATATAACTATATAGGAATTTTTAAATCGAGTGAGAACCCATTAGCCTCAACACCAAAGATAATAATTAGGTATTTAAAAATAAAATGAAAATTTTTGTAATACAGTATAGACTCTAATACGAACTAATTAAGGCTTAAAGGGATAAGCTCGAATTACTGATATTTTCGGATTACTGGATAGTAAATATGTACATATATAAATGTTTATTTACATTCATATAATATGAATTAGATTTTATGTGTTACTGAGAAGGCAAAAAATAACAATAAAACCAAACATTATCGTCAAATTTATTAAAAATTAAAAAGAAGACTTTAAAAAACCATTGAAACAGTTTAATAGTTACAAAAGAAATCAGTGATATGTTTGCTTTTTAGTACTCATTTCTTTCTTGATAATTATGCCTGCAACATGCGGAGCAATGTTACTTGTTGAGGAGGACCATTGAAACGGGCATTCGTTGGGCCGGATTAGTGGATATTTGAATTAAGGTGAGTTCGGATTAAAGAGTCTATATTGTATTGAATAAAAATTAGAAGAAAAAACAAAAGAAAAAACAAAAAGAAAAATAAATAAAAAAAAACAGAAAAACAACCCTTTTAAAGACTGCTACCTTGACGCGGTAAAAGGGATTAAGTCTTATATTAATAAGGATATCGAAATGCAATCCATCGAATAATTTCGGTAAATATAAATTTTCAGTTTGACAGTTTAGCTTAAATTGTTGAAATTTTTATAATTTATTGAATGAAATTTTATCTATCTAAATGTCCACTTACTTCTGTGGATTTGAGACTAAGTTTCAAGGGTTTGAGGTTAGGTTTTTATGGACATAACAGGTTTGAGGCTTCAGAAATACAAAATATTAGCCCAGAATAGAGTTTTCAATGAGTTACATTCTTTGGTTTGGAAAATATCCTTCTATTTACTTTCTAGTTCAGATTATTTGGATTTGAGGTTAGATATTCCAAAATAGAGGTTAGGGGCTTCAAAAATAAAAAATATAAGTCCCAGAAAACAGTTTTTAAGAACTTTTATTATTTGGTGTGCAACATACACATTCTATGAATTTCTAGCTCGTTTTTAGAATTTGATGTTAAGTTTTGAGTGTTTGGAGTTAGGTTTTGAAAGGTTTGAGGTTAGGTTTTTATGGGTGTAAGTTTATGGTTTTGGAGTTAGGAAATGTAAGCTCAAAAATATAGTTTTCAAGGAATTATACCCATAGATTTAGAAAAGTCAGTGTTACTTTGTGGTTAGATTTGATGAATTTGAGGTTATGTTTTTGGGTTCAGGTTTAAGGTTGAAAAGTATTGTGAAGCTACGTGATTATTTTCGTTGTTTAATCAACCTCAGTTACGAAATTTTTTATGTTTATTTTTAAATACCGAATTATTATCTTTGGTGTTGAGACTGATGGGCTCTCACTCGATTTAAAAAATTCATATATAGATAGGTATATATTTGAAGAATAAAAAAGAAATTAACACCATTTGGTTAAAATAGCCGTGTGCAAAATTTTTGCCATATTTCCCACTGTGCGCCAGTGGGAATATTAAGTGGTACACTTTGTAGACGAAGGAAAATATTTGCAATAAGAAATGTTTGAATGAAAGTTCAATATTTGTTAAGATTATTGAGTTACCACAATAATTCATAAAATGTATTTATAACATGCTTTGATAAAACATTTAACAAAAATTAATGATATACCTATGCATATATCATATCTATGTATATAAATATATAAAATCATACTTCGGGCGGAGGGGGTGGTGGTTGCGTCGGTTTACTTAAATTCCTAGATGACACAGATGATGCCTGCATACAAGTATTATTTTCTCCTTCCAAGTCCATAATGCTACCATCTGATTTTGCACGTATGTGACTACTTTTTCTATCACAATTAGTTGAATATTCATTTTCAATACAGTTTAATTGTTCATTGGATTTGGTTTTGTATTGGAAATCACTAAGAGTATGTGTATTTATTGACTCCTTACTATTTACGTTTATTTTCATTGTAGTTATGGTACAAATGGGACGCTCATCAGCTTTATTTTGGGATTTGTTATTTCCATCTATTTTTGTCACCGTTTTTGTTTTCTCCGCACACTGAATATCATGTTTCGCTGGAGCTATTTCATTATCTCTTTTTATATTAATAATGCTCGGGTGCATTCTATCTGCTACGTTATAAAGGGAACAATGGGTTTTTTTAAATACTGAATCTGTATTGTCAGACTTCTTTGTTAGGGACAGTGGTCTAGCTGGAACTTCCGGTTTGGTTGGCCGGTTAACTAAATTTTTTTGCCTCAATTGATTGTCGATATTATCAGCAGTTTTATGTGAATTTATAGTTATCGTCAAAATTTTGCTGTTATCACTTAGTTTGTTGTTGTGTATTTGATCAGAGGTACCAGTAAACTGATTTGTCGAATCTACAGATACATTATGTTTGGCTTCTTGACAAAATGAAGAATGTACTTTTGGACTTGATTGATTATTCGTACCAATTTCTTTTCTATCTAGAATACAAACTCGTTGCGAATCTTTGTCTAAAATATGTGCATTTTGGACAGTGACCTCTAAACTATCGCTTTGTTGTTTCTGATGTGAATCGATTATATCTCTGTTAATATTTTCATTTGAATTTTCTTTAAGCGAATAATCTGCATTAACACCTGCGTTAACCATTAAATTGTCCAAGTTCTTATTATATTTGCTGACGTCATAACTTCTTAATGAAATGTCTTGATCCATTTTATTTAACAAATTTGGCGGTATAGGTGCCGATTTTTTTTTTCGTGTATTCGGTTTTGGACTTTCAGGTTTTAAATCATTATATATTTTATTATATCTCGTAGTTTCCTCATCATGAAATAGCCTCGAAAGATTTACATATTTAGCCACATCACTGGGAAACAATAAATCGGCTTCTTTAATAAAAAATTCTATTAACATATTTATTAAAACACAATTTCCCATGTTAGCGCTTTCCTCTTCATCTTTACACCACAACAAGTTAGGTGACAAGACAATAGCAATATTTGAAGCCGACATTTTGTTTTCAGGATGTTGACTGAGTTTAGAAAGAAATTGAATTAGGTAAGTTAAATTGTCTTTGTTTTCCTGTGGCAACTTTTCTAGTATATTTTTAATAGTTTCCATTCTCTGAATTCCTTGGTATTGCATAGCATTCATCCATTCTTTTTGCAAGTAATAGGTAAGAAGAGGTTCAGGCAATTCCCTTAAGTATAATTTTAAAAGACTAGCCAAAACGTGTGCATCCCTATATTCAGGTATTAATACAGAAAAACATCCAGAGTCTATTGATAATTTTAATCGTTTTACTTTTGCAGAACTACCTGCTACTCGGAACAAACCTTCCTCTAGCATACCGTAATGGGAAAGTGCAGATATGCATATTTCTAGAGGATATGCAATTCTTTTACCAGTTATACGAAGGTGTTCCTTTAGGGCTGTACCAAATACTTTTCTTACTGGACTGTTTCCTAAAAGATACATTAACAAAAATATCAAATAGAAAACTTAAAAGGACAAGGTAATTGTAAATTTATTCTCTCATATGACACATTTAACACATACATTATTCGTTTAAATTATTACTAAATTATCACTTTTCTTTTTGATAAAAAAAAATTTAAGAGTTAATTTTATTAAAAAATGGGAATAGACATTCTAAACAAGCTATACAGGCTGTTACAAATTCCCTTCTCACAACAGGGATGTCGGAAACGGTAAATGGGGGCAAAGTTGCGTAATCAGGAGACTAACATTATGCCTCTAAAAAAATCAAGGCTAACATGACTAGTTTTCGAAATATTTGAAAAATAGCATAATCAATTTTTATATGTAGCGTTTCGTCTTTTCAGGATCATTATCAACTTCATTTTTTTAAATACGGAAATTTTAGTACATTTTTTGCAAGCCTTCATGACCCCCAATACTGTATTGCTTCAGCCCAAATCTGATTCAGACATTTTATCTCGAAAAATTCATCCTCAATGTATTCGTTCCAAAGGACCCCGCACAAATCTTATGGAAATTGGGTCCCGGTCAAATTCGCTGAATTTTTGATATGTGATAGAGTTCATCATACTGGTCAATTGTCTCAATGGCCACAAAGCTCAAAAATGGATAGTTTGGCCGGTACAGAGCTTTAAAGCTCCGAATATCCTCCACGGATTTATGTATATGCGCAGTGTGTATAGACTTTTGAAATAGCCTATTTCATTTTTTTTATTATCTAGGTTTATATTTTTGAGGTTGCTGAATTCAGATCTGTTGTTAGATTTTCAAAATTGACAGTTGGCAGCTGTCAAATAGCTGTCAATGTGCTATAATAAAGCCAAAAACTTGTTTTTTTATGTTTTATCTTTCTTTTTTTTTAGTTCGATAAGTTCAAAGACGATATCAAATCAATAACAATGACTATCGGCAGCTGTCATTTAGCTGTCAACAATTCTTCAAAGTCCGGTAATAAAGTCAAAAAATTATTTTTTGTTTATAACTTCAAGTTTTTTAGATAAGTGAATATAAATATGATATAAAATTATGTAGTCATCAGCTTACAGCTGTCAACAAGCTGTCAACTAACTGTCAAAATGCAATAATAGAGCAAGTAACTTATTTTTTGTGCTTAACTTTGTGGATAAGAAATCAAACATGATATAAGTTTATGACATCACTTTTGAACTCAGTGATCTAAGCAACTTAAAGCTTTTTAAAAAAAGTAACTTTTTGACTTTATTATTGCATTTTGACAGTTAGTTGACAGCTTGTTGACAGCTGTAAGCTGATGACTACATAATTTTATATCATATTTATATTCACTTATCTAAAAAACTTGAAGTTATAAACAAAAAATAATTTTTTGACTTTATTACCGGACTTTGAAGAATTGTTGACAGCTAAATGACAGCTGCCGATAGTCATTGTTATTGATTTGATATCGTCTTTGAACTTATCGAACTAAAAAAAAAGAAAGATAAAACATAAAAAAACAAGTTTTTGGCTTTATTATAGCACATTGACAGCTATTTGACAGCTGCCAACTGTCAATTTTGAAAATCTAACAACAGATCTGAATTCAGCAACCTCAAAAATATAAACCTAGATAATAAAAAAAATGAAATAGGCTATTTCAAAAGTCTATACACACTGCGCATATACATAAATCCGTGGAGGATATTCGGAGCTTTAAAGCTCTGTACCGGCCAAACTATCCATTTTTGAGCTTTGCGGCCATTGAGACAATTGACAAGTATGATGAACTCTATCAAATATCAAAAATTCAGCGAATTTGACCGGGACCCAATTTCCATAAGATTTGTGCGGGGTCCTTTATCTAAATTTTTTATTTAGATTTCTACTTTTACTGAATTATAGTACACTCTAAGTGTCGTTAGACCCTGTGAAATCCACCTAGTTATTTAAACTATTACCATTACGTGTTACAATAAAACATTATTAGTTTTAATCCCTATAGTTATTTCTAGGCTTCTCGAGTGCTCAAAATTCAAACAAATTCCGATTTAATTTTTTTTCAGGATATTCATATGCCAAGCTCTTTCATAGTTGAGATTACAGGTATAATAAATTCCGATAATATCACTTTTTCAACATTTGCCAAAACAGAAATATTTTTGAACATTTACTGTAATTTTTTAAAATATCATATTCATTTGGAGTTTTGGTTGTTCATATGCATGTTTTAGAATTAATTTGTCATAATAAAATTAAAATTGTAATGTTTTAATTTTAACGCAACAACTTATTAAGTTATGTATGACCAAGTGATAGTAATAGTTTAAATAACTAAGTGGATTTCACAGGGTCTAACGAGACTTAGAGTGTACGATAATTCAATAAACATAGAAATCTAAATAAAAAATTTAGATAAATTTGGAATGAATATATTGAAGATGAATTTTTCAAGACAAAACGTCTGAATCTGGTGCGAGCTGAGGCAATACAGTATTGGGAATCATGAGCGCTTGCAAAAAATGTAATAAAATTTCTAGGGCCGTATTTAAAAAAATGATGTTAACGATGGTCCTATAAAGACGAAACTTTACATATAAAAATTGATTGCCATTCGATACATTTGTATATTAATTTGAAGGAAGCTTGTTGGGATACCTTTTCCTAAATAACAAGTGAAAAAATACACAATCAAACAAAAATATTAGAGTCGATGAGGTGTAATTTCTACCTACCTACTTCTCTTTAAACATACTGGAAAATTAAAAAATAAGATGTAGATATCAACTCTGATTTTTTTTTTTTAGAGAGAGAATTTACTCATTATAATAACACTTCCCAAGACATAATTCTGTATTTTGTTATATAAGCTGCACAATGCAAGAATATGTTGTACCTATTTTTTTTTCCAGCTGAGGTATTACTGTTTCCAAATTCTTTAAGGCGCTCTCATGATATCCCCGCTGTAACTTTAATAATTGCAATATATACTCGGAAAATTCGTTTTCTTTTGACAATATGTGGAACATTTCAATGGCTAACTGATCTCTACTTTGTTCCACCTTATTATCTGCCTCTTCCAAATCCTCTTTCACAGTTTCCTTTTTAGTTGCCTGTAAAAAAGAAAAAACATAAGTTTGCTGCTCTCTAGCTGTTTACAGTTGTAAAAAATTAGTATCAAACTACATAATTCTTTAAATTAGATTTACATATCAATTATATTACATGAAGTTAAATGATTTTCAAAATCACAAGTTCTGTGCATCATTTCTGACACGAAAAGAATAAAAAAAAAATAGTCCAAGAGCCAGAGGTAAAAAAACTGTTTGAATTTACTAAGCCCAGTTTTTTATAGTTGATTACAGTAGTTGTGCACACAAACATACTGTGGTCAGTCAAGCGAAACTGAGAACAGGTGTCGCAGGTATGCTATCATAGTACCGTGGTAATAAAATGATTTTACTAAGGCTGAGAATCGTTATACAAATTCTATATTGCATATAAATAAAAGTTATGTTAATCAGTCTACTGAATGTGGAGACAGAGCTGGTCAGTCAGCCCCAATGTATTTATGTACGAAAAATAAATAATGTGTAATTCGTTTACTATACTTCAAAACTGTTATAAGGGTTTTAATTGTTATATTAACCATAAACAAAATAGTCAATCGACAATTTTGTGGCACAACGCCCGCCAATCAGCGAAAAAAAAATAAAAATTTCGCGCGCGCCGTCGGCGGCGGCGTATAAAGCGGGCGGCGGTTTTCCTTATTATTATTCAATGAACTATTTACAAATTTTATTTTAAAACCTAACATGACCTTAGAACTAGGTACTAAGCAACCACGCATCCAGTATATGGGATTTTGGTTCCCCGTCGAATTGGTTGCAACCAATTTTTTTCGATAGTATTTGACCTTCTGATAAAAAGTTCTCACAGGCACAACACCCAAAAAAGTCTCCTAGAAGGTCTGGCAGTCGACGAGAGTGTGGATATATGAAAGATATGTTATTTCGCACAAGTTGTATCACCATACTTGATTATGATAAACAAGGCTATCATGTCAGATTCAAGGTCATCTCAAGGTCAAATTGTAAAAAAACCATTAGAGAAATGTGAAACAGTAGGTACATAGATTTTTGAGGTCACTAAATACGAATATCAGATTCGCTTAAGCCTACAAGGTCACCTAGCCGTCATTTTTAAGTCATCTAAAGGACAAAGTGAGAAAAAACCTTTTACTAAGAAGAGCACGACAAATTGTTATACTTGAAAAATATGTCATTCATAAACATAGATACATTATCCATGACGCAGTGGCGTGTCGGGTATGCATCGGGAATTTACGTGATAATTCATGAAAAATCCACAGTACATATATTTTTAGGCTTTATAAAATATTTAGAAAATCAGGAATTGTATAACTACATATTTATTAAATAAAGTTAAGTTAAAAATAGTGTCGTTTTTTTAATTGGAAATTAGGAGTTAATGTAACGAATATCCTCAGGCGACGCACATGATAGAATAGTCCAATCCACGCTCCATTCATAACAAGGCTGCAGTTTGAATTCTGACCAATGGGAATTCGATAAACGCAACCGATGTCGACGAATGGACGAGAGATGGGCGCGAGTGTCATTTCATTTCTTTAGAACTAAATTAACTTAATTATTTTCTCGTTGTTTTACCAGTTCATATGATTTACGGATTTTAAATAAAGGATGCAAATCTTCGCGAGGATAAAACGATATATTTGTTATACATAGTAAATATATTTTGCATAGTTTATACACAATACATTTTTGAACGCGTACGCATCTTTACCCGAATTTGACCTAATCTTCGGGTTAAAGACACACATTGTCCGCCCTCTAGCAATGATACTGTAATTTAAACAAGTAATAAATCGAAAACGGTCTGTAATTTAAATGCAAATTCAGAGAAATAGATAAATCGTTAGTCCAAGTTTAATCACTCTACATCAAACGTCTTTTTGAGACATTTCAGGAAATGAGATATTTTTTCAAATTTCAACCCCCATCCATGTTTATATAAGGTGTATTTAAAGGAGGGGCACAAATGATACCAGAGATTCCTTGGGTGAAAATAAGTCGATTTAACCTAACATATCCCAAGTCGCATAATAAAAAAGATACAGGGTCTTAAACTGAAAAATAAAAAATGGTTTTTCCTTAATAATTTCTATAATTTTAGTCAGAAATGTTTCAAATTTTCAACAGAGAAGTTTTTTAGAGATGGGGAAAAATAATATAATAATGATTTTTGAGTGTCGAGTATGAGGCGCCCTCTGCAGGCAACGTTATGCATTGAGTATGTAGTAACTTTTTTGCCAACCCCCGTATACAGCTTTTATTAACAAAATATGAAATATTGGACTATTTTGAACAAAAAAGGTATACTTATTGAAAATGGCTAAAACCAACCGTTGAGGAGATATTTTTTAATTCATAAATTAGTGTTACGGATTTATACCTCCACAAATACCAATGTTGCTTAAATAAATAAAAAATCGAGTAGGTAAATGTCATTTGATAATACTTGTAAATTTCAATTTAGTCCAGGCAAGTTAGACCAAAATCACCCAGAATACGGCAATTTTTTTTTGATGAACCGATCGAGTTGCGGTTTGCGGCATTGTCTTCGGAAAAATATCAGGAAAAAAGTCTATATATTACACTTTGGGGCTGGAACGAAACTGCATTGTGGGTGCATAAAGTGCATCAATTTTTCCAAATTTTCTAAAAATGGTAAAAATTGACTAAAAGTTGTAGAAATTTGTGTGCACAGGTTTTTTGACCCTGAAAAATATACCCAACGGCCCTGGGGCCCCCCAGGGGGGCAAGCGGGGGGTCTTCTGTAAAACATTGAATAACTGAGTAATTGACTTCTAAATCCCCACCCAGGGGTTTTTGGGGTCGGGGATTTCGATTCTGACACTGAAACATATGTCCGACACTCCAGGGCCCCCCCAGGGGGCAAGGGGGGGCCTTCTGTAAAACACCGAATAGCTGAGTAATTGCCTTCTAAATTTCTACTCAGGGGTTTTCGGGGTCAGGGATTCCGAATCTGACACTGGAAAATATCCATTAATATTAGCTTGTCTAACACTGAGAAAAATTGTCGTAGAATTGGAGAAATCCTGGACAATCCGTTCCCAAGAGACACATTTCGTTAAATCAAAGAAATATTCCTTAAAACCGAAGAATATTTCATGGATCATGGATTTTCAAAAGAATCTCTTGGGCCCGTGCTACTGCGGATAATGCATAACAATTCCCGACAAAATCCGATTATCGACAATGCAGATCTTGTGGGTGCAGGAAGCATGGAATTACATGCACAACTGTTCCAATCCTGAAATAGTCGAAAATGTAATATAGATGATAGTGATGGAGACACTGATGATGAAAATTGTGAATGATAGTGAAAGTGTTAGAGATAAACATATGATAGTAGTTGTCTCACTAATTGCCTTGCAAATAAAAAGAAAATTGGTTCTCAGAATAAAGGTGGATTCTTTTCGACTCATTAATTTCCTGTTAGTTTTTCTTACCCTTCTTGTCTAATTTCTGTAAATTTGCGTGTGTTACAATGTAAAGATAAGCCTACAAGATCATGGTTGGTAAGCGGATGGAGCAGTTTTATTGCAAAAATCTGCCTTTCGATGTTTTCCAGAAAGCCCACCCCACGGGCGTCGTGCATACTTTTTAGTGTCAGAATCGGAATTCCCGACCCCAAAAACCCCGAGTGGAAATTTAGAAGGCAATTACTCAGCTATTCGATGTTTTACAGAAGCCCCCCCCCTTGCCCCCACTGGGGGCTCCAGGGGCGTCGGGCATACTTATCACTGTCAGAATTGAAATCCCCGACCCCAAAAACCCCCGAGTGGAAATTTAGAAGGCAAAAGGCCTTCGGGCATATTTTTCAGGGTCAGATTCGGAATCTCCGACCCCGAAAACCTAATTTCTACAACTTTTAGTAAATTTTTACCATTTTTAGAAAATTCGGAAAAATTGATGCACTCCAAGATGCACTTTATGCAAACGCAATGCAGTTTCAATCCAGCCCCAAAGTGTAATATATAGACTTTTTTCCTGATATTTTTCCGAAGACAATGCCGAAAACCACAACTCGATCGATTCATCAGAAAAAAATTGCTGATTTATTGTCTAACTTGCCTGGTCTAATTTTGAAGTATTAATTTAAACTGTTAATTGATTTTAGTCACTTTTTACCTGCGGCCTAGATAGTAAATAGTTTCTGAATTGATTAAAATAACAAATTATGTATACTAATGACGAGTATGTTGACATGTTGCAAGTATTTTTTTAATGTTGCAAGAACTGTGCTGCTGATGTACGACTGTATCATGCCAGATATCCAGAATATTTGAAATTTTTAAATGAGCAACTTCCAATATTGCTTGAAGACGTGCCACTAGCTACCCGTGAAAACATGTGGTACGCACATAACGGAGAGCTTCTGCTCATTGTACATTAGCTGTTAGACAATGGTTAAATTTAAATTTTCCTGGGAGATGGATAGGTCGAGATAGATCTCCCACCCGTGGACTAGTTTTTATGAGGTCACTTAAAATAAGTTGTTTATTCCAACCCTATTGTCAAAGAATTTTTGCAGCAGCTGAGGAAGTAAAGAATGACATACATATTTTTTCAACAGTTCGTCGTAATTTTAATCGTAGAATTAGACTATGCTTACAGGAAAATGGAAATTATCTTGAAAATATCCTTTAAAAAATCTTGTTTTTTTATATTGTCTGCCAATTGTTTCTCTTAAATTATCTATTGACTGTTGTTAAGTAACTCTTGGTTTTAGTTGTTTTGCTCTTTTTTCTAATACTAATTATTAAACTAACAATAAATAAGTATTTTGAAATATTTTTTCACCTGAACTGTTTTTCATATGAGATTTCTTTAATGCAGGGTATAAATAATTTCACATGCACAAGAAAATGTGTTTTTAAATAAAGACACCGAAAAAACAATTAAATAGAAATTATGCAACAAGTGTATTCACACATGCTAAAATAATAGGCAAAAAAGGTATAGTAAATTTAAAATAGGAAAAATAATGTTGTCTCAGTTGATTCCTGCTCCCCCTTTTGGTCGAATTTTAAAATACAGATACACAACTAATAAGTACTGTGAGGCAATGCGTTCTGAATTTATTAACAAGTGTCTATTTGTACCAACGAGTTGTAACCACTAGAAGGAGCTTTGGATGTATTTGTTTGCGAATGTATATAAATAAATCAGATCTTCAGGAGACACAAATTTCTATTGGTCGAATTAATATTCCCGCCTGCGTCCGCATTTCGACGATTGTCGATGACAGCCGTCAAAGGAAAAGTGTGTAGCCGCTATTAACGTATTTGAGTTTATTTGTGTCTAGTGTGGCATTTTCCTCTTATTGTTGTGTACTTTTTATGTATGGACATTTATTTAGTGCTAAGACATGGTCAGAAAGTGTGTTATTTGTAAAGTTTTATTTAAAAAGGGCGAGCAGCGGTCTTTTGACAGGTAAGTAAACAAGCAACATGGGCGGCGTTTGAGGAATTACACAAGGGTGTTTCACATTTAGTACTTATTAGCAGTGATAAAATACTGACTAAATCATTATCTAAATTATTAAAGATATATTTTTTAATTGTTCAACTTATTTTTTCTTGTTTCAGTAATATTATAAGTATATTATGAGTAATACCTGTAATTTTTAGATTTCCTAAGATTCTGGAAGGGGAAACTTGTGGAAGCTCTCCCTAGATGATGTCAATATTACCGACAACATTTTTGTTTGTTCTGATCATTTTGCGATTAATGATTTTCTGACAAAGCCATCAGGTATAAAGTACTTGAGAGAGACAGCTATTCCAATAATAGCTTCTACTTATAGCAGGTAAAATAACTTTTATATTGATTAAAATATACAAGTTAAAAACCTTTACAGTTACCTAGTACCTCTTTTCCTTTTTATTTAATTTTTATAGATCAGACAATTCTAATAAGGAAAATATTTCTCTAAATGATGTATTGCACTTGCCGCAACAAAAACCAGAAAGTATATCCACATGTTCATCGTCATCGACACTGAGTGCTCAATCAGGCTTGTTATCTACTACAAATAAGGCTACAGATCATCCTGAAATATATTTGAAATTTGGTGACACATCACCAAAACATTGATCAACTTTAACTGCATCAGAAATAGGAATGGAATCACCCAATCGTAATAAAATTATAAACGTGAAGTAAGTTATAAAAATATAATTAACAAAATATATATCCTTTGTATAGTATCTACAACCTATAATTTTGCTATCTGCTTACCTATCTAACATTTTTTTTATTCAGTACATTTTAAAAAATGCCAAGAAAATTCTACCTTGTTACCTATTTATATATTACCATTTTATTTTATATAAACACTACCGTAATTGTTAATATAAAATACATCTGGAATAGATAATTCATCATTTTTAGGAAAAGGCCTTATCCACGATATTTTGGAGAATGCCATACTTCTGACATGGATAGTCCAAAAAGAGCAAGAAAAAATTGGAGTATTTGTAAGAAAAAAATAAAAATGCAAACAATAAAGATCCGAAGTCTGCAGCAGACAGAGTCGTCTAAAAGCCACAATTTGTAGCCTTAATTCTCTTCTGAAATTTCTGTAAAAGAAATATGATAACAGAAACTGCTCAATGTATCAGTTGAAAAATACTTATTCTTTCTGTGTCTGTAAACAATATGTATTTTTAAGAATCAGCACCTGGAATGTTAGGTGAAATCTGTAAAAAATCAAGAAAATGACAATCTCGTAAAAAGTATTCACCTGAGCTTAGGTCGTTTGCCTTAACGTTACGCTTTTATTCAACAGATGCTTATAATTATGCAAGAAGTTTTAACATGGCTTTGCCACATACAAAAACAATTTTTAAGTGGTACAGATCTATAGATGGAACACCTGGATTTGCAAATGCTATTAAATTGAAAATAAGAGAAACAAACAGTGAAATTTTGGGCAATTTGGTATTTGAGGAAACGTCTATAATGCAAAGTGTTGAGTGGAATGGGAAACGATTCACTGGATATGTCGATGTCGGCACTGAAGTATATGGGGATAATATTTCAGAAGCTACGGAAGCCCTTGTTTGTAGCTATAAATAGTCATTGGGAAATACCTGTTGGGTACTTCATGACAAATGGTTTAAGTGATGGAGAATAAGCTAATTTGTTAAAAAAATGTTTAGAATTTTTAAGTGAATTAGGTATCAAAATAGTTTCTGTTACTTTTGATGGTGCTCCTTCAAATATCAAATTACGGCTTTACCATAAATGTTAATGTTAATTTTAATAAGTAGGTAGATTGTAAGTTTGTAGCATTTTAGGTTATTTGTTGACTTATTACCGTTTCAAATTGGTTTTCTAATAAAAACTAGAAAAATAAACCAAACATTTGTCTTTTTAAGATTTCTATAAGTCACTAGTGGGTTTTATAAGTCATAACTTACTAGTGACTTATGACTTATAACTCACTAGTGACTTATAGGCCACATTATTCCTTTAAAACCAAAGAAATTATAGTATCATTATATACAAGTGTTGGATAAAAGCATTTAATTAATCAGTACTGATGTCAAAACAGTTTGAGTATAGTAAAAACAGTTTATTAATTTTACTTCAATTTTTACCGTCTCATTATATCACCAATATGTAAAAATTATGTATAAAATGAGTAATCCTTTCAAATGTGTATTGGTATCTTGTAAATTTTAATATTTTGCCTCTTTTGACAGTACGCCACTGCCGTTGTGTCCCATTGTTTACATTTGACACTATCTATCTTTATTTATTAGGTAGTTCTCTGTTTAGATGTTTGCTATGTTATTGTAAAGTGAAATAAAACACTCTTCGAGTTTTAGCACAGACTAGACTAGATATATTTATGTGTTTTTACTTTATACATACAAGTAATGTTGGTAACATTTTCTTACAAACTAAATATATATATCCGGTGGCGCTAGCAGAGCAAAGCAGGAATTTTCAAATTTGATATAACAAGCGTTCAAATAAAAACGTGGTGAAGTTGGTTCTGAAAATTTGGACGTAGGGCGTAGCGTATAGCAAATGAACTTAAACGTCATCTGTCAAAGCGCTATATCGCCGCTATCAATTTGAATATTTTCGTTTTAAAAAGCGTTTAAAATGGTGTTTTCTCAAGAACAAAAAGTGTTTATCATAGAGTCCTACTTTAGAAATGGACGCAAGATTGATGGAATATGGAAGTATTCTATTGAGGAATGTTTCATAGAATTTCAAAATCAATTTCCCGGCGTTGTTGAGTACAAAATTTTTCAAAGTGCAGTTCAGCGTTGTGTTAATGTTTTTCGTGAAACGGGCAGTGTAACAAGAAAAGAAGGAAGCGGCCGACCTAAAAAGCGGACTGAAGAATTAAAAGAAAATGTCCAACAAATAATGGAAAATGCGCCAAGAACTTCTGTACGTGTTTTATCA